TGTGAAGTGAAATGGGCCTTAGAAAATCTGAGCAACAACAAAGCTAGTGGAGGTGACAGTATTCCAGCTGAGCTATTCAAAATCTTAAAAGACGATGCAGTAAAAGTGCTACACTCAATTTGCCAGCAAATTTGGAAAACTCAACAGTGGCCACAGGATTGGAAAAGGTCAGTTTACATTCCAATTCCAAAGAAAGGCAATGCCAAAGAATGTTCAAACTATCGCACCATTGCACTCATTTCACATGCTAGTAAAGTTATGCTTAAAATCCTACAAGCTAGACTCCAGCAGTATGTGGATCGAGAACTACCAGAAGTACAGGCAGGATTTCGAAGAGGCAGAGGAACTAGAGATCAAATTGCCAACATACGCTGGATCATGGAGAAAGCTAGGGAGTTCCAGAAAAACATCTACTTCTGCTTCATTGACTATGCAAAAGCCTTTGATTGTGTGGATCACAACAAATTGTGGCAAGTTCTTAAAGAGATGGGAGTACCAGACCATCTCATTTGTCTCTTGAGAAACCTATATGCGGGTCAAGAAGCAACAGTGAGAACCGAACACGGAACCACTGATTGGTTCAAAATTGGAAAAGGAGTCCGGCAAGGCTGTATACTGTCGCCCTGCCTATTTAACTTATATGCAGAGCACATCATGAGAAAGGCAGGGCTAGATGAATCAAAAGTTGGAATTAAGATTGCCGGGAGAAATATCAACAACCTAAGATATGCAGATGATACCACTCTAATGGCAGAAAGTGAAGAGGAACTAAAGAGCCTCTTGATGCGGGTGAAGAAGGAGAGTGCAAAAGTTGGCTTGAAACTCAACATTAAGAAAACCAAAATCATGGCATCCGGCCCTCTCAATTCCTGGCAAATAGATGGGGAAGAAATGGAGGTAGTGACAGATTTTATTTTTCTGGGCTCCAAGATCACCTCAGATGGGGACTGCAGCCAAGAAATTAAAAGACGCTTGCTCCTGGGGAGGAAAGCTATGGCAAATCTAGACAGCATACTAAAAAGCAGAGACATCACCCTGCCAACAAAAGTGCGTATAGTCCAGGCCATGGTTTTCCCAGTTGCAATGTATGGCTGTGAAAGTTGGACCATAAGAAAGGCTGAGCGCCAAAGAATTGAGGCCTTTGAACTATGGTGCTGGAGAAGACTCCTGCGAGTCCCTTGGACTGCAAGGCGTTCAAACCGGTCAGTCCTAGAAGAGATCAACCCCGACTGCTCTTTAGAAGGCCAGATCCTGAAGTTGAAACTCAAGTACTTTGGCCACCTAATGAGAAGGAAGGATTCACTGGAGAAGAGCCTAATGCTGGGAAAGATTGAGGGCAATAGAAGAAGGGGACGACAGAGAATGAGATGGCTGGATGGAGTCACTGAAGCAGTAGGTGTGAATTTAAATGGACTCCAGAAGATGGTAGAGGACAGGAAGACCTGGAGGAATGTTGTCCATGGGGTCGCGATGGGTCGGACACGACTTCGCAATTAACAACAACAACAAATTAACTTTCTTGCAAAATGAGACATCCGGCCGTTATGGTTTCACAACAGTGAAAACTCTCCTGTAGCCATACCTTTCAGAAACACGTCTTCTAAAACCCTCATGGAGTGTTATGGCTTTATTCAACACCTGCTATCCATCAGGTAATATCCATTTTCCTTCTGTATTCTTTTCCTTTTGTTTTATTACTTGGTTTATTGTGGCAACCATCATTTTATTCTGTTGCCTAAATTTCTCTACATATACCTTTGCACATATACCTTTTGTGCTGCCTTCAACAAGTCATCTATACTTTTCCCTGTCCATCCCTCCAACTTATGTAGCTTTTTACTTATATCCGGCCAAGATTTTACCACAAATTGTATTTTTACCAGAAGAGTATTTGCTGGGTCATCTGGATCAGTTCCAGAATACTTCCTCATTCCGTCTTTGGAGGAATGTAGCTGGAGATTCTTCTTTTTCTTGTTCTATCATTAAAGCTTTACTCATGTTCTGTGCTTTTGGGACAGCTTCTTTTATTCCTCTTATTAATAATACTCTCATATCTTCCATGTTTTGTCTATCTGCAGCATTATTATTGTCCCAATTTGGTCTTACTAAAGGGAACTTTGCATCTGCCAAAATTGCCCTCTGTGCTTGGGGGTTATGTTCCCTTGTCCAAATGTCTCTTGCTGCTCTTTGAATTAACTGTCTCTCTTCAGCTGTAAATAACGTGCTTTGTATCACTCCTAATTCATCCCATGTGTATATGTTTGCTCCTAATAACAGATCCAGTTGCTCTGCTACCCCTATTGGATCTTCTATCATGCTTTTCATTTCTTTCTTGAAGGCACGTAATTCAGATGCCTTTAAAGGCTCATGTACAAAACTGATAGGAGCCTGTCCTTGGCCATCTACTCCATTGGGTACTTCTCTTAAAGGAAAAGCCTGTAGTGGTTTATCCTTAAAGGGAAAATTCTTTATATCTTTCTTCAATTGTTCCAATTCTTTTACTAATACCTTATAGGGTCCACCTCTCACAGCTCCCTGGGCTTGTGTTACAGGAACTAGTAGGGGTGGTGGAATAGGTATTTGTACATTTGTTGGTTGTGATAGATTAGGATTATAAAGTGGGGGTAAATATTTCATGGATTTTTCATCATCTTCTTCCTCTATTTCATTCTTCTCTTCTTTTTGTAAATATATTGAAGTTACTTTATGAGGGCTAGGGCCACTCATAGTCAAGGTGACCCATTTACCTGGGTTCCAAATTAAAGCATAGTCTAACTCATTGACTAATGATTTACATGTTTTCCTTGACACATACTCATATAAATTCTGACAAGCAAAATAGTCATTTGTTCCTAATCTAGGCCACTCTACTTTTTCATCTTCCCACCAGACAAAACAACACAAATTAACCATATCTTCCTTGGTTATGTCTAATTTACTAATTATTTCATTATACGGAGGTTTTCCCCATTTACTCAACAAAATCCCTAATGGACTTTCTTTATCTATATTCAATTTGGGGTTTCTTCTTATTTTTCTCAAACACTTCTTTCCTGGAGTACTCCCTGTGTTGCCCATACTGGTTTACCGTCCTGTGTATTTTAATTGAGACTTCACATAAATTCCTTAATTCATTCCCCCTGATCCCCCTAGATATGCACTCGCATATCAGAGGTCCACTTTCGCTAAGGGGATACTTGGGATGTCACACACACACTGTCTCAAATTCACACAGGCCTACCCAGTCTTCCCACCGACTGCCTAGGCAGTGTATACTGGCCACCCCAGAACACTTACCTAGGTCCGTGCACGGAGTTGCCCAGTTCCCGGAAGCCAGCAACACACACACCGGTTCAATTCGTATCTTTGTCTAATATCAACTCTATGGGTTCGCCGAGGAAAGCGTTGCTGCTCCATTACCAACAAGATGAGATAGACTATCGAAATCGACAGGGCATGCCTTCCACCTCACCTTCTGGATCTGGTGCAGACAAACGATCCCGGTCTCGAGCCCCACGTTGGGCGCCAAAACTGTTGGTAGAAATTCTAGCCCACTGAATAACACCAAACAGCAAGTTGAAATTAGACAGAGATTTATTGGCTACAACGGTTTGCAAAGCGTGGTGGACTCCAAATAAATATTTGAGCCACACCTGGTCACAGCAAAAACACACATTATATACATTCTATCCCGACGCCTTGGCCCCTCCTCTGAGGTTACAATCTTATCAGGATCGCCTAAACAAAATACAGTATCCCTGCCCCTTACTATTTTGCTTCACCTATACCCTTATATGTACTTTATCATGAAATCCTATAGCTCAGTGTGGAAATCCTATAGCCTACATGCAGAACTCTTCCAAGGTACGTGTACATGTAGAAATTGTGTAGAAATCTTGCAGTCTACGTGTAGAAATTTTGTGTAGAAATCTTTCTGTCTGCGTGTAGAAATTTTACAGAGTACGTGTCACTTAACTTTACTTTTTATTCTAAAATTTTATTCCTAACAATAATAATAATATGAATTATTCTTAGTAAGAAGTAGAATATGAAGGAAGGAAAATGTAAATAAGAATCAACGGGGTAATAAGGACAAATATTCTAAAGAAAAATAAGGGGGGAAATGTAAATAATAGAAGATTACCATTACGTAATCGCTGTTTAAAAAAAAGGGAGAGGAATATATGTGTGTGCGTATGTTATGTTTTACTTTGTTTTGTTTTGTTGGTTAAAAATAAAATAAATAAAAAAAATTTCTCTGGTGCAAAAGCTGATTACAAAAAGCAAGAAACCAACAGTCAGACTAAACAATTTCCCTTTGTTCCAGAAACCTTCACATCCTTATGTAACTTGGCTCTATATCATGCAGCCTGACAGTGGTGGGATTCAAATATGTGAACAACCAGTTCTGTGTGGATGCCGCTTCCAGAAATCCATTCTGGGCCTGGGCAACAAAAAATTAGCTATAGGTTCTGCCAAAGTGGTGCGAACCAGCTGAATCCCACCACTGAGCCTGAAGCATGAAAGAACACTGATAACAAGACTGGATATGTATCTCAATAAAAACAGACCTTTACGGAAAGCAAAAAACCCTAATATGTGATTAATGCAGTCTATGTAAGAAGTTGGTGCAGAATTCACTTCAGCTTTAGAACAGAAGGAAAACAGATTTTTTTTCTTTTAATGGAAATATTTTTAAACTTAAAAAAGCCAGGGCACTTAGACCATATAAAGGCAACCACACACTCAGTTGACCCATTTGTTTGGCTAGTGTGGAAAAATGACTGTTTCTGTATGATGAATAGTGTGAGCAACTGATACTAACTTAACTCCAACAATTTTCAGGGTTGTGAGACTGGTTTGAAAACACTCCACCTTTTCTATTCTAGGATTTAGTTTTAGAAAAGCAGATCAGGAAAGCTGGCTATGCACAGCACTGGATGGATGCTCTCCGCAGCTGTAATTTGTTTGAATTTGACTTGTTTAAAATTAGCCTTCACCTTTAAATTTCATCTTCTCCAGATGCCTGGACTTCAACTCCTGGAATTTCCCAGCCAGGATGGTAATTGTGGAGAATTAGGGAAGCTGAAGTCTGTACAACTGGGGGGAGAGTATCCTGCTATGGTACCAAACTGGCTCAGGAATTCTGGGAGTTGAAGTCCACCAGTTATAAGGGGAGCCATAGTTCCCCACCTCCGCTCTAGAAGCAGCTGCGCTTTGGGGGTTGGGACCCAACAGAAAAACGAGGGGCGGAGCTAGAATGTCCATGCGCCCGTTCTTCCGGCGCTGTTCTAGCCTCCCCGTCGCTGATTCTGCCGTCTTGGTGGCCTGTTCTGCAGGTGAAAGTCACTTTGAGGAAGCCGCTGTTTCGTCAGCCTCATTGCGGTGAGAAGCCGGGAGCTTGATTGCAGCTGGCTGGAGGGGGTTCCCTGGCCATGCTGACCCTTGGAAAGAGCGCGGGAAGGCCCAGTGCAGGGGAGAGGAGCCCGGCTGCTCCAGGCATTGCTTCCGTCCTCAGAGGAGGTTCCCCGGCGGTGCCGACCCCGGGAAGAACGCGTGAAGGCCCAGTGCTCAGGGCGCCTCCACCCCGACGCGGAGACACGCCCGTCTGGGTCTTTGGGTCGCAGGCTGCGTCCTCCTTGTCATTTGCACATCAGTTGGGGTGATGGGTTGAAATGGAGAAAAAAACTTGGAAAAATGAAGAAAAAACATTTCTTCCTCCCCTTTTTTCCCAAAACCATATTTTAAAAAATGGGGGGAACCCCTCTTTTTCCCCCAATTTTTCCAATTTTTTTCCATGCCTTCCCATCTCCAGGGGTGAAGAAGGTTGGAGTCCCGTGGATATGGAGGCAGCAAGAGGAGGAGGCTGGGGTCCTTCAGGAGTTTGGACCCCAAACAGCCACAGTTCTGGTTCTGTTGATGGGGAACCTGCCTTGCCTTCCCCAGGCATCCATGGAGGAAGGGGCTCATGCAGAGTCCTACTTTCCTTGGTTGCCTCCCCTTTTTCTTCTTGTCACCCCCACCCCCCAACTACTGCAAAAAAAGGGGGCTCAGGGAGGGAGGGAGGGGGTGGAGGAGGTCAGTTTGGGTGAAATCTGCCCTCTCAATTTGTCCTGGGCAGAAAAAGTTCTTTCCATTCAGACCAAGCCCTTTGTGGCCTCACCCAAAGACAGTCTTCTCTGTAATACAGGTAGTCCTCAACTTAATGACCACAGCTGAGCCCAAAATTTATGTTGCACAAGTGAGAAATTTGTTAATTTTGCCCCATGTTATGACTTGCCACATTTGTTAGTGGATCACTGCAATTGTTAAATTAGTAAAATTAGTTAAGTTGGTAACACTGTTGTTAAGCGAATCTGGCTTCCCCCATTGACTCTGCTTATCAGAAGGTCACGAAAGATGATCATGTAACCCTGGGACACTGTAGCCGGAATAAATAGGAACCAGTTGTGAAGCATTGGCATGTAAATTGTGTGACTGTGGAGAAGCTGCAACGGTCGTAAGTGAAAAATACTGTTGTAACTTTGAATATTCACTAAATGAATTGTTGTAAATTGAGGGCTTCCAGTAGCAAAAGAAAACTGTTTGGAAAGAATTAAGTCAAGCAGACTTAATGCAAAAGGTAACCTTGCAGCCAAATGGCACTATTGCACAAGTTTAATAAACCATCATCATCATTAGTTGGGGGATTGTGTGACAGTATTAGCCCAGATAGCTTGTCTTGTCTTTTCATCATAGATTAGCACTTACATGAAGATTAGGAACATTGGCAAGAAGGTTGGGGTACATCAGATTTGGGCATCAAGGTCCTTTTCCCCGCTTGCTTTTGCGTTGATTTTGTTAAACCAGCTGGAATTTCTAATAGCGGAATTCACACAAAAGCTGGGCTAGCCTTGAAATGGAATGGGGCAGTAACTATGGTTTGGTGAATGGTGGGAAGCCACTGTTTTATCATGTCAGTCATAAGTGAAGCCCTCATACAATTGTTTTCTTTGTGAGAACACAACATCTGTTTTGTATCTGAGCATAGGCTGCTGTTGAACCCAGCTAATGTGAATAAATCTTCAGTACTTAATACTATAGTAAGGGGCACACTGTATCACAGGTGGCATGTCATTTTTGTTATTGTTCTCCTGTCTGCAGCCAAGATATATTTGTATCTTTAATCCCCCCCCCCCAGGTAATCATTTTAGGAAAGGTGCTCTTCTGTTGTGTAAAGTGTCATGACGTCTCAATTAAAGGAACACAACTAGCAATTTAATGAAAACTTATGCTTTCTTCTGCAGAACTGCAGAATAAGGTATCTGCTTCCAGTTTCTTGACATGTGATCATTCTGAGGCCTTATGTCATATATATCATTTCTGTTAAGTAGGCTAGAATATATATCTAGAAATGATTTCGTAAAATCTAGCTTGTCTACTGTAAAGTTTAAGGATGAAACTATATCTCCAGTCTCTTATCAGAAGGTTTTTTAAAATGGAGAGACATATTATGTATTAGATTAAAATAGCTGTTGGTCACTGGTAAGGATATCAAGGCTTTTTTCTATTTAGCAGGAAGGAGTTCCAGACATATTTCTATAGCTGATGTGAGCAGATTTAATTTGTTTCACTGATTGCAGCTAGGAGAATCAGATTGTAGCAGGAGTCCTTGACAGGCAACTCAGTTGTTAAACAAAACTGTTACTAAGTCCAATCACATGACCACAAATCTCCTAGTGATTTTACTTAGCTTTCCTTTGCTTTATAGCAGGGTCTTCAAACTTGGCCCTTTTATGACTTGTGGCTGAGGAATTTTGGGAGTTGAAGTCCACAAGTCATAAAAGGGCCAAGTTTCAAGATTCCTGCTTTGTAGTGTCCAAAGAATACTATCCCAAACATCTGGGTGAGGACAAATGGTGGGAAAGGTTTCCAAAACCTGACTCACAAGGAAGCCAAGTAAAAGAGTAGCTCTTACAGCCCCTTCCCCCATTCCTCTGTCCTTTGGAATGTTCACTCCAGCACTGAGATAATTGGAAAAGAATTAATGTTGGTATTTACATTCATTACAGAGGAAGGGATTACAAGAGAGTAAGAAGGCATACAATAGGGAGTAGACAATGATTTGTGAGCAGGTTCTACTTAGAATAAAATATCTAGGGCAATCCTGTATTATGTATCATCTACTTAATCTCCAGTAATTATGTGCATGTCATTTTTGTTATTGTTTTCCTGTCTGCAGGCAAGATACCTTTGTACCTTTCATTCCCCCCCCCCCCAGGTAATCATTTTAGGAAAGGTGCTCTTCTGTTATGTAAAGTTTTAAATTTCAGGTTTTATATTTGTTTCACTTCCATATATTTTGATCCTCCATAAAAAGATTAATTCGCCACTTCCGTTAGTATAAGGATGGGGAGGAAATCCCCCTCCTTCCCTTTCAGAGTATTTTGCTTCTTGGGGATCTTTTCCAGGAAATTATATATAGAATAGAAAAGAGAAGATCAAATTCCTCACTCAGTTTCAAGCACACAAAACCGGAAGTCCAGGTCAGACCTTTTTCAGCTTTTAAGCCCAGTTGGTCAAATGCTGCCATTTAACAGGCCATTCCTTTGCAAAACCAAAGGATCAGAAAACAAGCAACAATTTATATGATTTTATTGCTGTGGATGCCTAAGAATTTACATGAAAACATGATTCTCAAAAGATTCTATTTAGCGATTGGGAAGTGGGGGGTAATCTGGGATCCTTTTTAGGCAACAGTGGGACCCGGGTATATGGATATGTTTGTGGGGTGACTGCACGACTGCATATGAGAGTATTGTAAATGCCACAGAAGTATTAATAGAAGAGAATAGTCTAGCACTGATGATGTTACCTAGCTGGGTAATGAAACGTCTGCAAGAAGACAAGCTCAGAGAGCATCAAGGACCCCACTGTCCCAGAAGTGGACAGAAATTGAAAGATATTCAGAGGTTAAAATATTCGGAATGGTCCATTTTAGAGTCAGAAAAGTTTGCACCTCACCCTAAAACAGGCCTCCATTTAACTGAGATTGTTTGATACTGAAATTAAATGGGACATGAACACTGCAGCACTATTTTGAGCATTTATTACTCCAAAGGCAGTCCTATTTGAGTCTAAAAAAAAGCTTACTGCCTGGGAATATATTCCAATGCAGTTGGATATGGTTAGGGATATAGAAGAGATGTACTAATATGTTACATTTTCTCCCCTTAACTTTTTCAAAAGTTTTCACAAGGGGCAAGTTGCATCTGTATTTCCTGTAATAATGCTCTGGATTCAGTCAAGATGATCGAAGACTTTGGTGTAGAGGGCAGGCGTACGCAGTTGGGCACAAGAATCATCTCCCCAAGATAAAATGCCCTGGAATTGTCCATTACAGATGAGGGGTCCCCCAGCATCACCTGTTGAGAAAAATCAAACATGAAACATTACTACCGTATCTATGAAAGGGAAGGGGAGGAAATAATTCCCTCCCACCGTCCATTTACATTTAGCCCCCAATTTTTCTCTTCCATGTTCCCCAATCCAGGATCTTTGTAGAAGAATTTAACTCCTTGAGTTTCCCCCTCCAGAATCACCAGTATTGGGAAGTCTGGAAATCTAGACACCTAGAAGGCACTTGAGTTAGAAAAAAGCTGTAACTTTGTATGTTTCTACAAATGCCTTCAAGGCTAGATCTCTGTCATAGTTTTGAAATTTGGCATCATTTCTTTAGGAGTCTGTCTTAAAACGGATCATCTTACCCTACATGTATCTTTGCCTCCTTCCACGATACCTGCACACAATGTTCTGTTTGTCGCCGGCAACCCAAATTCTGGGTAAGCTGCTAGACACACCTCATAATTGAGTAGGTTAATGTTAGCACAATGAGGAACATCGGGATAAGTCTCTGAAAAAAAATAAAAAATAGACAAAATTCTACCTTTCACAATTTACCACCTAGATCAGTGATTCTCAACCTTTCTAATGCCGTGACCCCATAATACAGTTCCCCATGTTGTGGTGACCCCTAAGTGGGTGTGGCCACCAATAAGAGGGAGTAGGACAGCTAAGGAAAAAGGAAAAAATGGTGGACAGCATGGTTTGGCGACCCCCGTGAAATGGTCATTCGACCCCAAATGGGGTCCCGACCCATAGGTTGAGAACCACTGACCTAGATGCATAGAGCTATAATTTCCATTGTCTCCAACCAACAGAACTGATCTCATTGCCTGGGAATAGGAAGTATTGTCTTTCAAAGCGGTTCAAAGGGACTCCTGGGAAAAACAGATTTAGTTAAATGTTTTTTGTCAAGATATTAATAAGTCTTAAATCAGCTGATGGGCATTTGAAGGCTTCTCAAATTTCTCCGGCACTCTACGTAAAGATTGCCTTGTTGGACT